CTTTGAGCTGGAGGTTTTAAGGAGTATGAAACCACCTCTTAATTGCTGGTGTTCCCAGTTCCCCTGATCCGGAGTGGTAGCACCTGTTAGGGTTCCAGCTATGGGCAAGTTGTTAATAAAACCGGAGTTAAAACACTATGAAGGTGTAAAAATAGATTTTAATACCAGGAATACATTTTTGGAAAAGAATAACCATTAATACAATATTACCAGCAATAGAATATTACCAGCAATACATTAAAAAAAAGAAGAATTACCAGCAATACACTTTGAAGGAGGGGAGTATTTATATTTATTGTATCTAAAATACAATTGTGGCACAAGGCCGAAAAAGTGGGAAGGGGTTGAGGCTGGTCATCACTATCTTATACCTAGCTAATCCGATTCACGACCCTTTCATTCATTACAACTTCACGACCCATTCACCATAACAAAACTCGTCCGTCACCAATCAATCCTCCATACCGCACCACCTACAAAAATACCGCATCCTCTCAAAGAGGGGGGACCTATCAAAAAACGTAAAATAAACATAACTGATGTTGTAATGATTTTTCCAACGTATAAACAATTAATGATCTAATAAATTTTATTATATATAAAAACTTTTCTAGTGATGAACAATGAGAGGGCCCAACTGATGAATGAACCCCAAAAAAAAAACAAACTAAATATCAAAACAAAAGAAAAAAATAAACATAACTGATGTTAAAAGTTGGGGAAGCAAAGCAAAATGATTTTCCAAGCGATAGAATATTAGATGTTGGCATTAAATAACAAGATAAACCAAAAGGGGGCCAACCCAGTGAGATCGAACTCACTACTCCTTTTTTTTTTCAAGCAAAGTTGGTTAGGGGGAAAGATGCGGCACAAGGCCGAAAGAATGGGGGCATCCAGTGAGGATCGTTAACTGGACTCTTTTCAGTAGTAACAGATCCTACTTTGATCTTAATATTTATTTGTATAAAAAATACAAAATGTGCCACAAGGGTAAAGTTGGTGGCTAGGGGAAACGAAGACAAGCTTCAATCTCCCACATTACACCAACTCTGACCATGCGCCAAGGTGCCCAACTGATGTTAGTAGGACAGGTCTCTTCCTGGGTTCTGGAAACCCTCAAAAAAAAAAGATTGAGGCTGCTTGCTCAGCCGTATTCTGCCCATTGGACAATAGACGTCTCTTTGCGCCGCCCGTAACGATTGTAAGCGTGTCCTAAATGATGCTCTCGGCTCGAATGAAGGGGCATCTCGCAAATTTGGGAAAGAGTGTATTGAATAAAAAATATATTGGACTTGATACCGACAAGGCTGAATGCTTTGCTCGGAAATTTTATAAAGCTGACCCATACCTGACTTTCCTCTTCGAGATAAAAGTTGGGGTGGAGATGGGATAAAGCAAACTGGCGGCATTCGTTGCAACTACTGCCTCGAATCTCAACCGTCCTATCAGTCTCCTTCCCTCTTCGGCAAAATCTAATCAATACCGGGGTGGTTAACCACCTCACATCCAATAACCAGAAAGCAATATGTAGCCCAGATAAGGATGTGCTCACAGGGAAACATTACCGAACCATCGCCAGGAATCTTAGGGTTGGCATTAAATAACAGGTCAATCATTCCTGTCAAACCGTGAATTGAGGTTGATAAACCGTAAAACAAACCAAACCAAACCAAACCCTCCCTTCGTTAGTTTTTTTCACAACCTTTACGCTCTGCCAATATCTCAGAAATAATGGACTATTCCGTTTTGATCTCGTGGACAGACGGAAGCCCTCGTCCACTGCGAGGAAAGTTGGCTCCTGAGCCGTGCTAGGAAGTTTTTCCCCTGATATACAAAATAGAATATGCTGCCATAATGGTCTGGCGCCCCTTCTGTTTGCCTCGGGGTTCTTGATGAGAGGAGGCGGATATGTCTCCTTATGGTTGAGAATCAGATTAAGCACCGTCGCCTCCCTCTGATAATAAAAACAGATACTGGTTCCCAAACTTTTGATCTTAATATTTCACCCCTTTGTATCATAAAAATACTAAAATGTCGCACCTCTCGCCTGGGAACTCTCTTCCCTTCTCCTGTTTGGTGAGAGGCTATTAGGGACAAGGCCTTAATCTTTCTACTACCCTCATCCTGCTCTACTCTATCTGATCTTTATAACTAGTGGCTCCCCGGCCTTGCTTGGGGTGAAATGCTTCAACTTCAAAAAAAAAAAAAGTAGCTCTCATTGACCCATTCGGACTTACAATATGCCTTTCACCATCACGCCACAATTGAACTTAGCTCTCGCACCATGATCACCAAAATACTACACTTTGATCTTAGCCAAAAGCGACCGTGATAAAAGAGATGTTTTTCAGACGCACAATATCGCACGACAGGAACAGAGAAAGGCAATCGGCAAAAGTATAAAATATATATATATATATATAAAGTATAAAAATATTAGAATGCTGAAAGTTTTTTGTTTACTTTTTTTAATAATGAGGTGCGTAAGCTGGTTCACTTAAAACTAAAAATGATTACGTCACTTCTGTCCTTCCGTGTGATAACTCGAATCTCACGTTAGCTGCTAATACGCGATGAAAACATCACACAGCACTTGTCAATCGCCACCGTTGTTAAGATCGACTTACACTTATTTTAAACAACTTTTTTTTTCTGCGAAGAAATTAAGTAAAGCTTCTTTCAAAATATATTAAATAAAATTTAAATTTTCTAATTTTCGTCAAATAAATTTTGAAAGACGTATAATTGATTTTTGGAAGATTTTTAAACGGGGAAATTGATTCTTTTTACAAAATATATATCACTAAGTTTATAAAAAATAAAAAATTTACTGAATCAAAGAAATGAAATGGATATTCTTTGCCGACATTGTCAAAAATTTTCCTTAAATAATATTTAAAAATAAAATAAAATAATTTTAAAAAATGGGAGCTGGTAATATACATACTCATATTTGATAAATAATAATAATTTTTTAAATATTTTAAGTAATTCTATTACATTTATTTGTTTTAAAAAGAAATATAATCTATTAGTAATTACGAGTAAAAATAATATATTAAAATTGTAGTTCAATATAACGTATTCTAACCCAAACATCTCTTTTAGAAAAAAAAAAAATCTTCATGTATACAAGTACGAATTCAACGGAAAAAAAAAAAATGTTGATAAAAGAAAAAACCGTTGAATGGATTCATAATTTGTTGAAAAATGCACCCTACCATAAAATCCATTGAAAATCTAAATTCTTTGTTCAATGGATGTCATATGTTTTGGGATTTAAAAATGCTTTTCCCCTATCGTTCATACCAATCATTTAACCTCTTTTCGAAAAAAAACAAAACAAAAAACAATTACTTTAACTCTTGTAAATAATTGAAACAATAATAGATTTAAAAAATTATATAACATCCGATACCGACACCTCCCCTGTCTAAATGATATCCTTAGGTTGGTTCGAATTTCTCTTTTGTTATATTATGTTCTTTGCAAAAACGGTAGCTAACAATGAAAAACTAAGATCATTTTCAATTTAGCACCTTTAAATTAGTTAAAAAAAAGCGTTTAAAACAATTTTTTTTTTGTCGACCAGTGTAAATTTTAAAATAATTTCATTTCCAAAATTCGTTTAAAAGATGAAAACATAGAACTAATGCTTTTAATTTACATTTATATATTAATTTTAAACAAAAAATGAGGGAGCCTTACTATTTGATTCTAAATTTTACAAAATTCTGATTAATAAAAATGACTTAACCTTTTTCGATTTTTTTAGTCATTTTCTGTATCTTTGAAACAGGAAAAAAAAATAAAATTTTTAATTCATTCCAAAATTCGTTTGAAGGAAACGAACTAATGCTTTTAATTTAATGGGTAAAAAAAATAAAAATAAAATAATCGGAAAAAAAATAAAAACTAACATTTCGGACGTGCTCAGAATGGGTAAAAAAAAATTAAAATAAAATTCTTCTTCACCCTAGAACACTAACCACGTGTATATAGTACCCAGCGCAAATTTGCCTATTTTTAATTACAATTTTCAGTACCTGATTTTCTTACCTGAATAATATTTTTCAGTTCCTATTAATGTTAACTCAAAGTACAAAGTTTGAAGTGCCTGCATGTAAAATATTTCAAATAAAGATTTATATTTAATATTTTTTTGATATTTTCAAAATCGCGTAAGATATACCCATGGTTAGTAGTGGTGTAACTTTAATTGATGGTTAGTGTTCTAGGGTTAATAATAAAATAAACGTTAAGATGATTTCATCAAGTTTCAGGCCGTTCTTGTCATGTTATGCTCTTCCTTATCGATTTTCTTGGTCGTACCTAAGGTACCATAAATGAAATAACATCGTCCGCTGAGTTATTTAAAAAAAAATCTTTAAATATTAAGAGAAATGTTCGTAATATGGGGATCTAGCTAGCAAAGTTTTATTACACAGCACTTAGAAAAAGAAGATCTTGATTACTATTTTTCCTGTTTTCGCAAAGCCTGAACTACCCGCTATAAGGATTGAACTCACAGGTACCATGATATTAAATCGCAGACCAAATTTTTTACCGCTAGATAATTCTTCTTTTGTCTGTTGTATCCATATCTTTTTCAACATCTGTTCTTTAACTCTTCGACGGTGACACAATCTCCGCCAATTGTATTCGATCCCATCACGCAGTTATTTACAAAACAGATCTTCATAAATATATCATAAAACTCAACAATAAAACCTAATAAAAAAAATTAACCTAAAGAAAGTTAACCCTCTCCAGGCCAATGTATTTAACATCATTTTTATTGCCTGTTATTCTTCGTTTCTGTCTCTCTCTCTTCCTGCAACACACGCACCCTTCCTCTTTCTCTCTCTTTCTCTCTCTTTCTCTTTTTCAATGTTTTTATTTTTTATTTTTTTATTTATTTGTTTATTTCATTCGCGACGTGTTTTTATTAAATACGCCTCTGCCCCACAGATAATAAGTTCTCGGCCCGATTTTTCAGAATGTCTTCATTGTTGGCATTATTTGAATCAGGGTCACCCTTATTGACTCCCCTTACCCCTAGGGCCGGCTTTGAAGTATCGTCCGAAGACATGCCGTGCGCAGGCTGTGTCCATCTGTTATGTGTTCAGATTACAACAGGGCCGCAGCCCAGTGACCGGGACCCACGTTCGCACTTAGCGTCCGCACCACCAGCTTACTGACAAACGACCGACGTCGAAGAAAGAATACTTCGTCTTCACCTGCGACTAAATTAACATCCTGACCTTCTATCGCTCTCAACGTATATCATTTTCTTCCTTTCTTATCTTTTTTGCTTACCCTTTTTTTGCTAGTGATTTCCTTTCTTTCATTCATTCTTTCTTTCTTTCATTCTTTCTTTCTTTCTTTCTTTCTTTTCTCGATTCTATCTCTCTTCTTTCTTTCTTTCTTTCTTATCTCTTCTCTCGATTCTATCTCTTTCTTTCTTTCTTTCTTTCTTATCTCTTCTCTCGATTCTATCTCTTTCTTTCTTTCTTTCTTATCTCTTCTCTCGATTCTATCTCTCTCTTTTTTTCTTTCTTTCTTTCTTATCTCTTCTCTCGATTCTATCTCTTTCTTTTTTCTTTCTTTCTTTCTTTCTTTCTTTCTTTCTTATCTCTTCTCTCTTCTCTTTTTTTTTTTTTTTCTTTCTTATCTCTTTCTTTCTTCTTTCTTTTCTCTTCTCTCGATTCTATCTCTTTCTTTTTTCTTTTTTCTTTCTTTCTTCTTTTCTCTTCTTTCTTTCTTTCTTATCTCTTCTCTATTCTATCTCTTTCTTTTTCTTTTTCTTTCTTATCTCTTCTATCTTTCTTTCTTTCTTTCTTTTCTTTATCTCTTCTCTCGATTCTAACTTTCTTTCTTTCTTATCTCTTCTCTCGATTCTATCTCTTTCTTTTTTCTTTCTTTCCTTCTTATCTCTTCTATCGATTCTATCTCTTTCTTTCTTTCTTTCTTATCTCTTCTCTCGATTCTATCTTTCTTTCTTTCTTATCTCTTCTCTCGATTCTATCTCTTTCTTTTTTCTTTCTTTCCTTCTTATCTCTTCTATCGATTCTATCTCTTTCTTTCTTTCTTTCTTTCTTTCTTATCTCTTCTCTCGATTCTATCTTTCTTTCTTTCTTATCTCTTCTCTCGATTCTATCTCTTTCTTTTTTCTTTCTTTTTTTTTTCTTATCTCTTCTCTTGATTCTATCTTTCTTTCTTTCTTTCTTATCTCTTCTCTCGATTCTATCTCTTTCTTTTTTTCTTTCTTTCTTATCACTTCTCTCGATTCTATCTTTCTTTCTTTCTTTCTTTCTTTCTTATCTCTTCTCTCGATTCTATCTTTCTTTCTTTCTTATCTCTTCTCTCGATTCTATCTCTTTCTTTTTTCTTTCTTTCTTTCTTTCTTTCTTATCTCTTCTCTCGATTCTATCTCTTTCTTTTTTTCTTTCTTTCTTTCTTATCTCTTCTATCGATTCTATCTTTCTTTCTTTCTTTCTTTCTTTCTTTCTTATCTCTTCTCTCGATTCTATCTTTCTTTTTCTTTCTTTCTCTTCTCTCGATTCTCGATTCTATCTCTTTCTTTTTTTCTCTTTCTTTCTTTCTTTTTCGATTCTATCTCTTTCTTTTTTTTTCTTTCTTATCTCTTCTCTCGATTCTATCTTTCTTTCTTTTTTTCTTTTCTCTTCTCTCGATTCTATCTCTTTCTTTTTTTTTCTTTCTTTTCTTTCTTTCTTATCTCTTCTCTCGATTCAATTTTTTCTTTCTTTTTTCTTTCTTTCCTTCTTATCTCTTCTATCTCTTCGATTCTATCCTTTCTTTCTTTCTTTCTTTCTTTCTTTCTTTTTTTCTTTTTTTTTTTTTTTTTCTTTCTTTCTTTCTTTCTTATCTCTTCTCTCGATTCTATCTCTTTCTTTTTTCTTTCTTTCCTTCTTATCTCTTCTATCGATTCTATCTCTTTCTTTCTTTCTTTCTTTCTTTTTTTCTTATCTCTTCTCTCGATTCTATCTCTTTCTTTTTTCTTTCTTTCCTTCTTATCTTTTCTATCGATTCTATCTCTTTCTTTCTTTCTTTCTTTCTTTCTTTCTTTCTTATCTCTTCTTTCGATTCTATCTTTCTTTCTTTCTTTCTTATCTCTTCTCTCGATTCTATCTCTTTCTTTTTTTTCTTTCTTTTCTTCTTCTTATCTCTTCTATCGATTCTATCTCTTTCTTTTTTTTCTTTTCTTTCTTTCTTTCTTTTTTCTTCTTCTTTTCTCGATTCTATCTCTTTCTTTTTTTTTTCTTTCTTTTCTTATCTCTTCTTCTATCGATTCTATCTCTTTTCTTTCTTTCTTTCTTCATTTCTTTTCTTTCTTTCTTATCTCTTCTCTCGATTCTATCTTTCTTTTTTTTTTCTTATCTCTTCTTTCGATTCTATCTCTTTCTTTTTTTCTTTTCTTTTTCTTTTCTTATCTCTTCTCTCGATTCTATCTCTTTCTTTTTTTTTTTTCTTTCTTTCTTATCTCTTCTATCGATTCTATCTCTTTCGATTTTCTTTCTTTCTTTCTTTCTTATCGATTCTTCTCTCGATTCTATCTCTTTCTTTTTTTTTTCTTTCTTTTTCTTTCGATTTATCTTATCTCTTCTCTTCTCTTTCTTTTTCTTTTCTTTCTTTCTTTCTTATCTCTTCTTCTCGATTCTATCTTTCTTTTCTTTTTCTTTTCTTTCCTTCTTATCTCTTCTTTTCGATTCTATCTCTTTCTTTCTTTCTTTTTTCTTTCTTTCTTTCTTATCTCTTCTCTCGATTCTATCTTTCTTTTTTCTTTCTTTCTTTCTTCTTCTTTTCGATTCTATCTCTTTCTCTTTCTTTTTTTCTTTCTTTCTTTCTTTCTTATCTCTTCTCTCGATTCTCTTTCTTTTTTTTTTTCTTATCTCTTCTCTCGATTCTATCTCTTTCTTTCTTTCTTTCTTTCTTTCTTTCTTTCTTATCTCTTCTCTCGATTCTATCTTTCTTTCTTTCTTATCTCTTCTTTTTTTTCTTTCTATCTCTTTCTTTTTTTCTTTCTTTCTTTCTTTTCTTATCTCTTCTCTCGATTCTTCTTTCTTTCTTTTTTCTTTCTTTCTTTCTTTCTTATCTCTTCTATCGATTCTATCTCTTTCTTTCTTTTTTCTTTTCTTTCTTTTCTTATCTCTTCTTTCGATTCTATCTTTCTTTCTTTCTTTCTTTCTTTTCTTTTATATTCTCTCTTATTCTGATTCTATCTCTTTCTTTTTTTCTTTCTTTCTTATCTCTTCTATCGATTCTATCTCTTTCTTTTTTTCTTTCTTTCTTTCTTATCTCTTCTCTCGATTCTATCTCTTTCTTTTTTTCTTTCTTTCTTTCTTATCTCTTCTCTCGATTCTATCTCTTTCTTTTTTTCTTTCTTTCTTTCTTATCTCTTCTATCGATTCTATCTCTTTCTTTCTTTCTTTCTTTCTTTCTTATCTCTTCTCTCGATTCTATCTCTTTCTTTTTTTCTTTCTTTTCTTTTTTTTCTTTCTTATCTATCTCTTTCTTTCTCTCGATTCTATTCTTTCTTTTTTTTCTTTCTTTCTTATCTCTTTCTCGATTCTATCTCTTTATTCTTTCTTTCTTTCTTTCTTTCGATTCTATCTCTTTCTTTTTTTTCTTTTTCTTCTTCTCTCTTCTCTCGATTCTATCTCTTTTTTTTTTTTTTTTCTTTCTTTCTTATCTCTTCTCTCGATTCTTCTTTCTTTCTTTCTTTCTTTCTTTTCTCTTCTCTCGATTCTCTTCTCTTTCTTTTTTTCTTTTTTCCTTCTTTTCTCTTCTTCTTTCTATCTCTTTCGATTCTTTCTTTCTTTCTTTCTTATCTCTTCTCTCGATTCTATCTCTTTCTTTTTCTCTTCTTATCTCTTCTATCGATTCTATCTTTTTTTTTTCTTTCTTTCTTTTCTTTCTTTCTTTCTTTTTTCTTTCTTATCTCTTCTCTCGATTCTATCTTTCTTTCTTTCTTTCTTATCTCTTCTCTCGATTCTATCTCTTTCTTTTTTCTTTCTTTCCTTCTTATTTCTCTTCTATCGATTCTTATCTTTCTTTCTTTTCTTTCTTATTTCTTCTCTCGATTCTATCTCTTTCTTTTCTTTCTTTTCTTTCTTTTCTTATCTTTCTCTTCTCTCGATTCTATCTTTCTTTCTTTCTTTTCTTTTTTCTTTTTCTCTTCTCTCGATTCTATCTCTTCTCTCTTTATCTCTTTTTCTTTTTTCTTTCTTTCTTTCTTATCTCTTTCTCTCTATTCTATCTCTTTCTTTTTCTTTCTTTCTTTCCTTCTCGATTCTATCTCTTTCTTTTTTTCTTTTTTTCTTATCTCTTCTATTTCTTCTCTCGATTCTATCTCTTTCTTTCTTTCTTTCTTTCTTTCTTATCTCTTCTCTCGATTCTATCTTTCTTTCTTTTTTCTTTCTTTCTTTCTTATCTCTTCTCTCGATTCTATCTCTTTCTTTCTTTCTCTTTTCGATTTTCTTTCTTTTCGATTCTATCTCTTTCTTTTTTCCTTTCTTTCTTATCTCTTCTCTCGATTCTATCTCTTTCTTTTTTTTCTTTCTTTCTTTCTTATCTCTTCTTTCTTTCTTTCTTTCTCTTCTTTCGATTCTATCTCTTTTTTTTTTTCTTTTCTTTCTTTCTTATTCTCTTCTCTCTTTTCGATTCTATCTCTTTCTTTTTTTCTTTTTCTTTCTTTTTTTATCTCTTCTCTCGATTCTATCTCTTTCTTTTTTCTTTCTTTTTTTCTTTCTTTTCTTCTCTTCTATCGATTCTATCTTTCTTTCTTTTTTATCTCTTCTCTCGATTCTATCTCTTTCTCTTTTCTTTCTTTCTTTCTTTCTTTCTTTTTTTTCTTTCTTTCTTTCTTATCTCTTCTATCGATTCTATCTCTTTCTTTTTTCTTTCTTTCTTTCTTTCTTTCTTATCTCTTCTCTCGATTCTATCTCTTTCTTTCTTTCTTATCTCTTCTCTCGATTCTATCTCTTTCTTTTTTCTTTCTCTTTTCTTTCTTTCTTTCTTTCTTTCTTTCTTTCTTTCTTCTCTCGATTCTATTTCTCTCAATTCTTCTCTTTTTCTTTCTTTTTGTTCTTTTTCTTTTTATTTATTTCATTCTATCTCTTTTTTATTTCTTTTTTATTTTTTTCTTTCTTTTTCTTCCTTCCTTCCTTCCTTCCTTCCTGCATTCATTTTTCCTTTTAATTTCTTTTTTCTATCGATTCTATCTCTTTCTTTTTTTTTTCTTTCTTTCTTATCTCTTCTCTCGATTCTTTCTTTTTTTCTTTCTCTTTCTTTTTTTCTTTCTTTCTTTCATGTTCTCGATTTATTTCTTTCTCCGTTTGATTCTATCTCTTTCTTTTTCTTTCTTTCTTTCTTTCTTATCTCTTTCTTTCGTTGTTCTTTTCTTTTATTTAATCATACTTTTCCTTCCTTCCTTCCTTCCTTCCTTTTCCTTCATTCTTCTTTTTTTTTTTTTTTCTTTCTTTTTTCATGTTCTTTCTTTCTTTCCTTTTGTCTTTCTTTCTTTCTTTCTTTCTTTCTTTCTTTCTTTCTTTCTTTCATGTTCCTTTATTTCTTTCACGTTTATTTCTTTTTGTGATCCAACAGGCTTTCCCTTCGTTCTTTCTTTATTTCTTGTTTCTTTATTTCATTTCCTTTATTTCTTTCACGTTTGTTTCTTTTGGCATTGATCATAATTTTCTTTCATTCTTCTTTCTTTCTTTTCTTTTTAGTTTCTTTCTTTCGTTTTTTTTCTTTATTATTTTCACGTTTATCTCTTTTGTTCTTGATCTTGATTTTCTTTCTTTTTCTATGACCTTTTATTTCTTTCACATTTATCTTTTGTTCATCAACTATTCCTTCCTTCCTTCTTTTTTCTTTCCTTATTTTATTATCTTTTTCTTTTATTTATTTTCTTTTATTTCTTAAACCATTGCTTCTTTATATTGTTCATCATGATTTTCCGTCCTTTCTTTCCTTTTTCCTTTCTTTCTTCGTTTCTTTCTTTTGTTTTCTTCCGTTAATGATACTGATTTCATTCAAGTTTATTTTTTCGTAATTCATCTGCCTGTGTCTTCTTTCCTTCTTTCATTTTTTCTTTCTTTCTTTTTCTTTAATTTTTCTTTTACTTCTTTCGGGTTTGTTTTTTCCGTGGTTGGTCATACTTTTCCTTTCTTTTTTTCCCTTTCTTTCTTTCTTTCTTTCTTTCTTTCTTTTTTTCTTTTCTTTTTTTTATTTCTTTCTGTCTTCCTTCTTTAACTCTCTATCTCATTCTTTTCTCTCTGTGTTCTTTCATATATATATATATATATATATATATATATATATATATATATATATATATATATAATGCCTTCAGATACGAGTGTACCGACAAACAGGTTCTTGGAGACACAGGCCGGCATGTATGTGTGTGTGTGTGTGTGTGTATGTATATATATATATATATATATATATATATATATATATATATATATATATATTCATTTTCAGACAATACTTTTTGCTGTATCACAGCTTCTCAGTGCGACAGGACATCCAATTCCTCAAGCCAGTATCGAAACCTAACTTATTTGGTGTCAGTCAGGCTTCTACTTCTGAGCTATTTTTTTCATTCATCAATATATATATATATATATATATATATATATATATATATATATATATATATATATATATATATATATATATATATATATATATATATATATATATATATATATATATTTAGAATGATTATAAACTTATATATTTGTATGTATGTTGGTCAAAATGGAAGAATTTCCTGCGTTTTTTTATATATATATATATATATATATATATATTAAAACAATAAATGCGTTGGTATATAATCCAAGTGGATCCTAGTAATATAAAATATTAAAAATAATCCACGATTATATATTTATTATTATGGTGCAAAATAATTAATAAACAATAAAATCCCAAAATCACCTCATATGAGGAATAGCCTATTTCGACAGACGAAGATATTGGTGTTATCAACCTTGTTGTCTGCTGATTTCATGTCTGTACAATCACAAGGGTGGAGCGGAATATAGAATTTAACTGCGAAAGCTAAAAGTTTCAGTCAGACGAAAGGCACGAGACAGGAGTCAGGGGTGGGGTGGGGATGGAAGCTATTTGTCTGAAAAGGAAGAAGTTTTATAAACTTAAACCCGAATATTAAACTTATGACATTAATTTGGATTTATATGAAGAATGAAATATTAATTTTAAATTACAAGAAGAATAAAAAGCGGTTTAAAATTAAATTTAAAATTTATAAATAAAAGGATGTAAGGGATTAATGGAATGAGAGTTGGGGGAGTGAGATCTCAGAGGAGGGGAAAGTTTATAAATTATAATTAATATACAGTGTAACCCGGATGTAAGAGAGTTGTCGGGACCGGAGAAGAAGTCTCTTATATCCGGGTTTCTCTTATATCCGGGTTTGGTCTATTTTATATACATTAACACAGGCTCTAATTTGGGACCAGAGAAAATCTCTCTTATATCCGGGTTTCTCATATATCCGGGTCTCTTATATCCGGGTTACACTGTAGTGTAAAGAGTTTATAGATATGGGGAACAAGAATATAGAATTAGTTATATTTACGAAATGTGAAAAGTTGAAGGTGAGTAAATATTATGGAAATATAGTAGTGAATCCTATATTAAACCTATATTATGGAAATTTGAATTTGTTTTTTATATATATATATATATATATATATATATATATATATATATATATATATATGGTGTGACAATTTAAAATTTATTGCCTCAAAGTATTAGCCTTTTATCGGGCTTCTCTTATTACCCACTTCCTATACGACCTTACGTAGACAGCTGCCCCCAAATGTGAACGTTCCTGATATGATCCCTAGCCTTTGAGTGAAAAGTTTTGAGGAACGTGGAACCGCCTTTTAATTGCTGTTGTTCTCAGGTCCGCCATGATCCACGGTGCTAGGGTCCTGCTTATGTCAAATAGGGAACCCCGAAACTGGGGTCAAATCATGAACATATACAAATATATTCTATTTATCTATTCGATATAATTACGAGCAATATATTTTCATAGTAAAAAAAAAAAAAAATACGAGCAATTTATTTTTTGAAAAAAATAACAAAAAACAAAAAATAACTACCAAATCTAACTTGAACATACAATTTCGGCATTAAATGACCCATAATGTGTTGATATGCCTTCAAACGAACAAAACGAAAACCAAATGTGAATATTTTTTTCGTATTTGATATTTTAAATATTTAAATTCTTTTGAAGATATTTAAAAAAACAAAAACAAAACAAAACAAACAATGCAATTAAATGACAAAGTAGTTCATTTAAAATGGCGGTAGATGAAATTGTTATCTGGTCGTGATGAGGTGATAGGTACAAATCGTGTAAAGAGGTCTGAGATTTTAAGAAACTGGAAACGCGTAATGATACAAGTTACAGCGTATCACAACAACACAAGTTTATGCAAAGGAGAAGCCTATATTACAGCTTAAAACCGTGAATTCTGAGAATAGGGCGGATACCTCGAAAACCAAACTAGTTATAGGGATTTTCAAAGCGTAGCTTAGATGTGGCACAAGGCCGAAAGCATGGGCACCCGGTGAGGACTGAACTCACTACTCAGTTGTAATGTTTCTAGCGATACATGCTTGCTAACCATTACACCGCCTCGAGGTGCCCAATTGGGATTTTCCAAGCGTAGCTTAGATGTGGCACAAGGCCGAAAGCATCGGGCGCCCAGTGAGGACTGAACTCACTACTCAGTTGTAATATTTCTAGCGAGACATGCTTGCTAACCATTAAACCACGTCAAGTTCTCAACCAAACTAGTTATGTTGCATCATCGCTGATCGGACCCTGAACAACCACCAGGCTCCGTGTCTTGAGCGACTATCGGGCCTCAAACTCAACCAAGACCTTCTGGAACTCTTACATAGGATCGGTCTAAAGATGCAGGACAGATGGTTGCTTCCATGTAATATTCAACCAAGTACCTGTCTCCGCTTGTTTTCCTCTACATTTACAATAGCCAGATCAGGCCTAAAATGGATTAATGCTGTCAAATTTTGGGCAGGATCAGCCCAGTCCTCACTTTCCAGTCTCGATATCGTCCAAAAGGGTCCCCGCGTGACGTAATGGTTAGCAAGCTTATCTCGCTAGAGTAGTCAAATCGATCCTCACTAGGTGCCCCCTTCTTTTGGCCTTCTCTTCTGCCACATCTCAGCTGCGCTTGGAAAATCACTATAACTATGTGTGAAAAGAGGTAGCGGCCAAAGTTAGGTTCCTATGGGGACTTCGACCTGATGTAATGGTTAGCAAGCTTATATCGCTAGAGTAGTCAGTTAGAATCTCACTGGGTGCCCACTTCTTTTGGCCTTGTGCCACATCTCATCTACGCTTGGAAAATCACTATAACTATGTGTGAAAAGAGGTAGCAGCAAAAGTTAGGTTGCTATGGGCACTTCGACGTGATGTAATGGTTAGCAAGCTTATATCGCTAGAGTAGTCAGTTAGAACCTCACTGGGTGCCCAGTTCTTTTGGCCTTGTGCCACATCTCATCTACGCTTGGAAAATCACTATAACTATGTGTGAAAAGGGGTAGCAGCAAAAGTTAGGTTGCTATAGGCACTTCGACGTGATGTAATGGTTAGCAAGCTTATATCGCTAGAGTAGTCAGTTAGAACCTCACTGGGTGCCCAGTTCTTTTGGCCTTGTGCCACATCTCATCTACGCTTGGAAAATTACTATAACTATGTGTGAAAAGACGTAGCGTCAGAAGTTAGTTTGTTATGGGCATTTCGATCTGATGTAATGGTTAGCAAGCTTATTTCGCTAGGGTAGTCAGGTTGATTCTAACTGGGTGCCCCTCTTCTTTTGGCCTTGTGCCACATCTCAGCTACGTTGGAAAATCACAATAAATTTGTGTGAAAAGAGGTAGCGGCAGAAGTTAGGTTGTTATGGGCATTTCGATCTGATATCATGGTCATCAAGCTTGTCTCGCTAGAACAATTACGGCTGAATTGTGAGTTCGGTCCTCACAGGGTTTACCATGCTTTCGGACTTGTGCCACATCTAAGCTGCGCTTTGAAAATCGTTTTTTTTTTGTGTTGGGGAGGGGAGGTTCACCTCGAGGCGATGTAATAGTTTCCAAGAAAACGAGAATTGAAACTTTAA